GGAACTGATATCATACTGAGTTCGCTCACTTGATGGCGGAGGAAGCAAAAATGAAAATTGTCCTCTGGCAAATGGGTATGCCAAATGGAGTTAATTTTGACAGGTTGACCTGATATGATCAACTTTCTTGCCCTATATTGTCCCTTTTTTGTCCCTCTTCTAATTTCCCATTGCTTGAATGCTGTCAACACATTTTATACTTACACAATCACGTTTGACGTTCATGTGTTTAATGTAATGCTATTTTGCGCATTCCTGTCATTATAGTTGTATTAATTGAAGCTGAAAGCTTTGAAGAGTTTCGAACAAAAAGTGAGTCAGTTGTATATGCGGTGGCTCAACATACATCATTGGACTGATATTCGAAAATATATACAATTGAAATATGACGTATAGAGTTAGAATATGGAGCATTAAAATAATACTTGTGGTTATCCTTTAGTTAAAATAAATGTCACAAAAACCAAACATGAGGAATAAGTTAGGCCTGAGAAGCGAAGTTAACAACAGTGTGATTTTTCAAGTAAAACATGAAATCAATGAATCTGAACAATGAAGAATGTTATATCACGACGCATTGGTACTTTTCAGGTTGGGTCATCGTTCAATATTGAGTTAGAAGTGCGACCGCGAACAAAAACTGCCGTTTTGTTATCAGTTGGTATTCTGGAATATTTAACACTTCAGTTATTCAATGGCACAGTTAAATTCACTGTGGATAATGGTGCGGGTCCGGAAACGGTATCACACATACCGAGCATGACCAATGCTCTATGCGATGGGCACTGGCATCACATTAAGGTTGGTAAACACCTTCAACTAAGGGATGAAACCATTTCTGAATGCTTTCATCTGAAAAAAGAGAGATAAAGTAACCAGTTTTGTTGATGAAATTGAACATTCCGTCTATCACAGTACGGACTGTTCCGCAGCTACAGTAAATTGTTCGTTTAATTATATTCAGCTTTATAAAACGAAGAATCTGATGACTTTGACTGTCGATGGCAGAAGCAGTTTAAACATAATGAAGAAAGGTAAAAAGACAGACACGAATACGAAGGATCCACTATATTTGGGTGGTGTTCCCAAAGGCATTAGATCGAGTGGTCTGGAAACAACAGGTTAGTTTTACAGAATTTAAAGTGATCGTCTTCTTATCCATCATAATATCATTTTTAGAAGGATTTCTTGGCTGTGTTCGTGTTTTGAATATGGGAAAAAAACCGCGGAAGCGAAAAAACGTTGACTTGTCACAAGTGTCTCTATTTGGTGATATTACAAAGAATTCTTGTCCTGTCAATTGAAACCAGGTCAATAATGCTTTAAATGCTTAACTTTTCAGTAAAATTACATTCATTATACCAAGTGTTTTGCCTGACAATAAGATGCAAGTGAATCTAATATACGGAATATTAAAAAAAAGAAAAAGAGTAGGAAAAGGGGAAAGATGTATGATGGATATATGCTTAGTGCACAATAATCATTTACTGGACCAAAAATAAATACGCTTAAATCACCGATGTTGTTTGTTAAATCTACTTAGCATGATTCATTTATTTATACTACTGGTAAAGCATTGGGCATATTCAGCATATCTACCGTATTCGCCTTGCCTTTGGCAATGGATTATCTTCTAACATCTTGACAAATTTTTAAAGGAAAATGTTTTCCGACAGTTCATTAAAGAACAAAGCAAAGATTCGAACTGAACAACAGTTGAGGGACATTGATGAAAGCTATAATGATTTCAAATTTGTTTCTCAAACTCGATAAAAACTCGCGCTGAGTGTGATAAAAAAACTCTATTTATGATAAAAAAAAAGTGATAAAAACTCCTCTATTTATGCGACAAAAAGGAAAGTTTGCAGCGTATGCTACAAATTCCGGAGTGCTGGAAGGATGCGGTGAAGACAAATTAAAGTATGACTACTCAGCAGTAACCATTAAACTAATTAAAAAAGAAAGCAAAGGAGAAGTACGAAAAGAATGGATGTCGAAAACGGTTAACTGCAATTTGAAATTAAAAAGTCTTGCAATTGTAAACGAAAACTCCTGTTACATTATTAATTCACGGTAACGAACTTGGAGGAAGTAGATAAACAATGGGTCACCAACCAACAAGCGCAGAAGGTGGTAGGAAGTTCTGTATATTCATACCAAATATAGAAATGTTTCATCGCAAGCCTCTCTAAGCTTCTAAGTGCTAATCAGGTGAATAGGAAATGTATCTTGTGGCGAAAGGTCTCCGGTAAATATTAGCATTAACACTAGATTAGCAAAACTGGGAAGCACGACCTTCTTCATGAATTTTAATCAGTATTGATAAAAACACCGCGTCCCTTAGCCACAGTTGAGTAATATTTATGAAAAAAAAGCAATTAATGATCTAGCCTGTAAACAGATCGTGACTAGAAACTATAGGGGAATAATCAGGACACCCCAAATGAAGTTTTACTTTAACGCCGATCATCGGAGTGAAATCTCAACAGCTCAAAACGTCTTTGTGAAATGCAATAAATTCTTGTAATATGAAAACTATTGGACATCAAACTTTCCACACCATATGACTTCTTAAATTCAGTCTGTCGCTTGTTAATTATATTAACTTGAAAATATACTTCTTTTTGAATATTGTGTGGATCTTAAATGCCGCTGTTTATTACTGTAACAGAACTCGCTTTTCCGTTCCAATCATCGTTGTTTTTTTTCTTTTTTTAAATGTATCTAAAACGAAAAATCTAATGTGATGAGCAGTAGGAGCTGAAATTACCAGGAAGCACAATTACAATGGAAAAAATTCATATTTTTTGAATTCGCAAGAATAGCAAGCACATTACATGTAATTTCTAAGTAGTATATCGGATTACTGGTAACTGCTTCCGTTTATGCCTTTCTGTAATCTTCATTTCCGTAGCAAAAATGTTTAAAAGCTTATGTAAATTACAGTTTCTGTCTTCAACTGCTCATGTCGCTGGGAAAATCGTAGTCAAATTTCTTCGTAAACCTCAAAAACAAACATTCCTCGCATCCATAACAGATTACAGAGAAATTTTGTTTGTTGATACATGATATTATGCCGACTGAAAAGCAACGTTGCTGGTGTCTCACTGCCAAAAAAATCCGATGGTCTAGAACATTTCCCAATCGCTGGTCCGAGGGGACTAAAATATAGTTTACGAGGGCGATGGCGCGGTTAAGAGAAAACAGGCAGGGTCGTCCTTAACGTTTGGTAAACTAATACGTTAATAGTTTTGATTGAAGTCTATTATCAAATTAACAAAATTTATTGTTACTGAACCCTGTGTTTCCCCTACAAATAAAAAAGCCACAGTGGTCCCTAGTCAAGAAAAGGCTGGGAACCACTGGTCGAGATAAACGTTTGGCTACTAACTAGCTCTTGTGAAAACTTACAGACCCACAAAAAACTTTTCATTTTGAACTTTATTTTGGAATTTTAAAAAAAAAATTTTTGGACTTTCAAGAATTATTGCTGAGGTGGTGATTATTTCCATTCTGAAGGTGATTATTTTCTAAAGTATGATAGAACTACTGGTATAGTGAAACTATTGAGAAATGACTCTGAAGCTGTAGAGGGACAACAACTCCTGATATTAAACAGCCATCAATAAGAAAATAAGAAAGTCTTCCACTGAGTACAGATAACAGAAATTCCAGAATCCAGCCATAACTTATTGAAAAATTCCAAATAGTGATTTATTCCGATATCATTTGAACTTTCCTGATGAGTAATATACACTCTGGGACATATAGGAGATTGACAGATAATGAATACGGTAGGCAGTAAATTAGCCTTGCAATTCGTATAAGAATAAAAACATTTATAGAGTTATTTCTAAAATTCAATCTAATAAAAAGTATTACACATCGGTAATGGCAGGACGTTTATCTTCCATTTATTTTTGTTAACACGTGTGAAAATATTAAGAAATATGATCTTTAGTACTGTTTGTACATATAAATGGACTTAGTGGACCTTTTGCTCATTCCCATCTAATTCAAACAAACTTTCGTTAACTCGAATTCTCTTTGCACTCTAATTTTATTTCCTGAGCTTCCCTTAATCTCGGTATTTGTACTTGGTTCGGTTCATCAATAATCGTCTGTTTCGTGTTTATTACAAAGTATTGAGCTATGGAATGAAATAATTCACTGCAACCAGTCTAGACCGTATAAGCTTAGTATTGTTAAGTGATGCATAATATATTCAAATTTAAGGAATTTAGCATCAATAGACATAAATATTCCCATAAATGGTTAGGAAAAACGAGCTGCTGTTGTCCTCATCTAATCACCCTGACGAATAGTATCGAACTTCTGAAAAACCATACTTCTTAAATAAAATGCGAAAACCGAAAAATTAAAAAAAATTAATAGAATAAGCAATTTACGGCATTGAGCATGATGATACTTATGGATGTTTTGCTAATGAATTTGTGAGTAATTTGTCCATTTTCTTCGTTTATGAATACCGTTCCTTCAAAATTATTACCAAATGATTTTCCATTAGAAACTAACACCTTTGCGAACTGATCAAAAGGCATGACGAATAGTTTAGCTAATTAATCATTAAGGGAACACTTCATTAAAGGTTAACAAACGATTTGTATTGGAAGCATAATATGGACAATCTGACTTGCGGCGATTCCCGGATTTCCATGACTATGGCTCATCATTCGTCAATTGGGCCAGGTGTTTTCATCGATCCAATAATTACTGGTACGATAACATCAAAACTGTGCATATCTAGACGGAAGAAATAACTAATTGTAATAAGGCCATTAGCTTTGATTGAAGTTGGTTGTAAACCAGTGGGTATCTGGAAATCAATATGCCTCGTTTCTGGACCTGCACCTGATGCAATTTTACATGTCCCCTGAAATACCACGAAATAGACACCATAAACTATATTTCTTGGGCTAATTCCGATTTATCATGAATTACGAACTGGAAATATTAGGTGAATGTATTCTTCCCGAAGTATAAAAAGCTATTACCATGGATTCAACAGCAATTGTCAATGATTTTCTATCAAACAAGTGTAGCTCATAACGATTCTGCGATAAAAAATCAAGCTGTTGACACAATGAGAGCAGCACACAATCATTTCGATTTTTCCGCGATTTCCTTCGCTTCCTTTTAGCACCATTCTCAATTACCAATGTAATTTTCGCTGTTTCACCTGAATTTTTTTAAAACACTAACTTGAAACACTTCATTGTTTTCCTATCTGAAAACATGTCTAAATTTTTCAAATAAATATCCAAAATCTAAGCACGTAACAATTTAAATACGATTTAAATGAACTTCAAATTCATTAATTTACGGAAACGATTTAATGCAAAGATAACGCCAGTTAACGATTAAATTTACAAGAAATTATTACAGTCTTAAATACAGTTCTACCGGGTAGAAGCCCCATGTCGGAAATTGTTAATTGAGCAGATTCAATGCCGACTTTACGATTGCAGCAACATCCGCGTACTTCATTTTCTTCTCGACCCGTGACAGGTTGTCGCATGTATGGTGCATCAAGATTGAGCAAAGAGAACACAGTAAAGTTATGCTCTGAAACGTTCTGCTAAAACTATTCATGGCTAAATATGTATTTTCCGTACTGTTTTTACGGAAAATAGCTCAGCTCCGAAGAGTGGTTGGAAATTCTGACGATATTTTGCTTCTAGGTAATTACTCTCTCCTTCCACGAAGTTTTATGACCATTCAGAACCAACCGATTGTTTTCAAGTAAAACAATCCTGCTTTGTCTAAACTACCGACAAAATTACACATTAAGTTAAATAACTCGAAATTGAAAAATGAAAAGAAATACCAGCAAAAATCTCCCTAGCATCCTCATCAAGCACATCCAGAGTTGCTGAACAGGTATAACGAACCCAACCGTAATTTTCCTTTTCGATCGATGATATCACATCCAGTGGCAACTAAAAATTCGCATTGGTATGATGCAAATAGTGTAAATATGTTTGAAGTCGACTTATGACATTTCTGATCTGGCAAATTTTGTCATTATTAAATGCATCTTAAGGTTCTCTTTTCCTTATTTTGTTCTATACAACAAAACTGTCAAATCCATTTAAATCCAATTTTAGATGTATTTAATTATCATTTCATATATATGAATGTATATAGCAATATCAAGACAGAAAAAACCACGCTTACTGGAATATGAAAGCGTATTTGATGAAGGCCTTCTTCCAAATTAAAATTTTCATCGCAAAAATCAGTAAGCACTCTGCAAATTGTTTCAATCTACATCATGCTCACCATACTAACTATATTTTTCCTTTTTTTATTGAGCAAGATCGCCAGGATCGTCTGCTGTTGAAATGCTTCTCATAATGCAAGCTTAAATACAGCACAAGCATGGACTCTTTGAAAAGAACTGTGATAAATGCGACACTCAGGCTTATAATAATTTGGATAGTCCAGCAGCCAAAGTAAATTTCTATCACAAAAGAAATTTAGGTGGTTAGTCCATTAAAATTCTGAAGCAAACCTTGTCAAATCGATATACTCATTGAGCACTTGCTCGTTACTTTCATACAAAACCTCGCTATTCTTATTTTTCCAGCCAGTCTGTGCTTGCCCAATCAATTTTACAATCAATCGCCCCACTTTAACTTTTTCCAGAACACTTATTTCCACATGCCCCTGAAACTCACCTTTTTGATAGTTCTTCCAGTTTTTCGAATTCCACGAATTATGAATTCCTTCGTCAAATTTGTTTTAATTTTGTCTTCCATTACAATGATACGTAATAAACTATGGACAACAGGAGATTCTTGAGAACTGTTACAGCCAAGCATGAATATCGAATGGAAATATTACTGATGAAGACAGTGAAAGCGAACCTGAACGGCCTCACCACCGGTGTAGGGCTTCTCGGATTGCTTGCTGAGTAGAACATCAAAATGTTCGATTTTCATGATATATCATCCATTGAGCATTCCCTAATCCCAAAAACATTCCACTACTTATGTGCCTAGTTTCCTCGAAACTCCCCACCCCTCCTCTTTATAATACCTATTTTTTCTGCAAATAAATTCAATCGTCAATGTGAAAACATGTTTTCCAAAAAATAAGGACATAGGCATGCAAATCTATCAATAACAATCAGCGCAAAATGAAAATATTATCACCAATAATTCGATTCAATTATATGGAAAAGTAAACGAGTAAATGACTAAGGCTTCGTTGACCTACACTTATTTAGTGAGGTGACATGGGTAAGCAGTTCGTTCTTTTTTTTTTTTTTTTTTAAATTACTAAAATAGTATGCCTTTGTCACTTAATCGGTGTGCTGAAACAACTCGCCAGTGGTTAGCTCGTCACCTAGACATGATACGATACTCGATGATCATTCATCAAAACTGCTTCAACAGCGTAAATGCCTTGCACTACTACACCCAGGGAAAAGAGTGATGCCAATATATGAAGAAATTTTAGATCAGCGGGAAATTTTCAAAATGCAAGAGCATAAGTTTGATTTAGAAGTCATCTACTCCTTAGCCATATGATAGCTGCAAGCTGACAGGGAATGAAAATTATATTGTAATGCAGTAGGTATTATATCCAAATGTGGATAACCTAAACAATATTTTGAGGCTAAAGAATATCTGCATGCAAACACAATGATTTTCAGATTTCATACGTATCATCCAGATAAAAATAATTCAAGGGAAAAATTTCTTCGAAATATTAAACTTAATGCGAAATCCATAATAGGTGTTTCAACAAAAGTGCTTCAAGAAGTTACTTCAGGTAAATGAGATGGCGTAATTTAATTGACGCCTTGAAAAAATATTATTTGGAAAACAATTCTGTAGATGTATTTCGATTGAAAAGTAAGGAACAAAATTAAAAAATAAATAGCAAGCAAAGCCGTCATTCTACTCCTTTCCTATAAACTACTTCAAGAATCATGAACATCTTCGCAACCAAATTGCATAGCTTTCGGTGAAGCACAATATGTGCTAATAACAGTTCAGAGCGTCTTGACAGATTTTTCCATAATGGTTCAAAAATGAAAGCAACCTGAAAGAAAAGTTCTTTGCTCTAAATGCCTGATTTCAGCTTGCTAATCATATTATGTGAAGTATTACTTATCTTCTTTTTACTACTTTTTTTTTTATAAGTCCTACTGACCATCAAAGCACCTTTGAGCTCATTGCTTCTTCTGATGAGATACCCCTCCATATTCGAAAAGCGATGATTTCTTTATTAAAAATTTATCTCCATCATAAACAATAATAAATGTCTGACGTAATGGACATAGGAACAAGTACGCAGGTCCTAATATCGAAGCTCATGAAAAGGAATAGATATCGTAGGGACCGCAAAAGAGTCAATATATATGAAAAAAATCGATGCACAATTCACAACCTTCGATCCTTTAATTTTAACAGAAAGAATCAAAGTTACTTCAAAATGCTAATCAATTGATAATCTGCTAATTGAGAGCTGAAAGGGCATTTATTAATGGTAGCTCCTTTTGCTCCTTTTTTAAAGCGCTCAACACTCTAAACCAGTTTCTCCTTTTACTCCATCATAGTAGATATCATTTCGAATTTCAGAAATATGGTACAGAAAGGATCATAAATCTAACAGTTTTTTTTGGGATATGAGTGCCTTTAGAGTGACTATTACAAACTGCTTTGGTTTAAATAATGGAAATGAAAGGTGACGAATTGGAATTTATTTCTGAAAATCAGAGATAGCGATAATTAAAAGAAGAATAGTGAAAAGGGGAAATTGAAAAAAAATATTGCAGGTAAACGGGCAGTGTAAAATGGGAAAAAACGTGTTAAGCAGCAATGTGAAAGGCATTGTTAGGATGAAGAACAAGCATATCGACGTCATATTCAATTTTTAATTGGTTTTAAATTAACCCTTACTTGCATCGGGGGCCGTTCACTCACTACAGCATACAACGACCCGTTGCCCATAACCCTTCAACCTTCCACCCTTAGACTTTGAAATTATTACATTTTATCTTTCCCATACATTACAGATCCAATCATTCGACTTTGTTCATTGCTTCTAAAATGGAATTCGTTTGAAAGGGTAGATAAATGTTGAGTGAATGAAAATTTATACCTTTGGCACTAATGATTTATGTCTTCGACTTTTTCTTCGAATTCACAACTTTAATTTTTTCTTAATTTCCTTAAAAAACAGATGCAACAGAGCAAAGTCTTTCATATAATGATAGGGGAAATGTATTTGATGAAATAAAACTGAAAATGAGAGATAACGAAAGCAGCTGGTAGTTAATGTGAGACATAAGAGTTTGATTTGATCACATTTGAGTAATATGATATGATGTGACATATAATGAGGGAAGAAGTTGTAGACATAGTTAGGAAGACAAAGTGATGATGTGTACCTTGTGAAAAATTCAAGCCTAAGCTGATCCATGCTAATCCTCCCACTCCCACTCTTCTTAATGCATTTCTCGAAGAACATTGCATCCTCACTTCGCAAATGACAGTTGCTACATAATACAGATTCTTTCAAATACGTTAGCAATATTTTTAACATAATCTGACTGCTGAGTTATTTCAACACCTTTATACAATTACCATCAACTGACCCTCTACAATTAATTATTCCCGAACCTCCGAAAAGAAAAAAAAAAGAACAAAAACAAATCCAAAAACAAAAACCAACTTGAAGCAATCTTGATTGTTTCAGGTTTTAAATAAATTATTGTCTAGTCCTTAATTCTACTAAAATTTATGATTTCATCATTTAGCGACTAAAACTGTTGAAACTATCTAAAAGGGGTTGTAGAGTGACATTTCATGTTTAAAACATTTTTTAAATATTGAAATGATGAAATACCAGAAGTATATAGACTCATAAGTCCCGACGTCATAAGTTCTTTTTCTTTCTTCCACGTTCCAATGTACTATGGTTTATCAAGAAACTAGCAAGTCCTTCCTTTCATCATGGCGGTGTGTGATAGCCAGCGCCAAAAAAAGCCGAGACAAATAAGACAAAGTCAGTCGTCATATTATAATGATGCGTGAAGTATATATTTGCAAATGAAATGGTAATCCTCGGATCACCGATCACGACAATAAACCTCGAGAGGGTTTTTCCATTATTTACTTGAGGAATGTTTCCTAACATACGTAAAAAGTCACGAGAAATGCGAAAAAGCGCAGTAGAAAAGGAAAAGTTTTTGAGATTCCATTCTGTGGCTAAGATTCCTACGACATTGAGGTGTTAAATCTTAGCATAACTCATTGAAACAATTTCCTGGTGATGAAAATTAAAAAATGACAACAGAACGCTACGAAAAACAAAATTCGAGAGTACTGGCGGAATGATCAATATATGGTGTCTAGTGGGCTAAGGCATAGTATGGGCGAAAACTAGGACAACTTGTTAAAAATGCAAACATATTTCCAATGCATCATCCAGAAAGTTCCCTAATCAAACAACATTTTTATTATCACTCCAATGATATTCACCATGTTTTTCGATAGTTATCAAGTTCAAAATCTTTTCAAGTAAGTCATCGAGACAACCAAAGGAAAACAATGTCGTAAAATAATGAGATATTTTTTAGAATAATATTAATATGCTACTGTGCTCAGTGAGTAGCGAAATCAAAAGTGATATGAAATATCAAAAGTCACTCAAGCTCCAGTTCAAATGTCACATTTTTCAAACATCTCAGCAAATATTTCATTTTAAAACGTACGAATAATCCCCTTCCAAAGCTGTTTGAAGTGATATGCTGTGAAGGAACAGAATGATATCATGTGGTTGGCGGCCGAAAACATTCTGCATGTTTACCATTAAATTTCTCCGTTATAATTAAAAAGTTTCTTTTTTTTTACCTGTTGCAACAATTTTTACCCTACAGTTACTCAGAAATGATAATTAGTGCATACAAGAAAGTTACGAGACGAAGGAGGCTCAAACGAAATGTGCTTAATATTTCCCCATATTCAGTCGATCTAACTTGACAGTTTTTAAAATAAATAATTTCAGCAAGTATCAGCTACTAATAAAATTGTTAACATTATTTCTCAAAAAACTTATGTATACATCATGTCTGGTACTTATTTTGCTGCTAAAAATCCTTTATTTCTCTTAACTCCTGAAAAGGATATCCACTTTATTAATAATCACTACTTTTTCGACTGCTGTCATTGATAAATTATTGCTATAATTTGAAAATACTGTCAATTTAAAACTTTTCAAAAAAAAACTAAAAAAAAACTAAAACTTTCTACCATCTAGCTGAATGCTGACCTGTGCCCTAACCTTTTTATGCTAAATAAAGTTCTGAAAATTTCAATTCTGAATTTTCTAGAATTACAAAACTATCTCCAGAAAATCAACCATCCTTAACAACACATTTTCTAGTTCTTGAATGAAAAATCAACTTTATTCAAGGTTGAAATTCTAGCAGATGTATGACTCATTCAACCTCATTGGTAAAAAGAATTCAGTTCAATCCACATATTTTCATGGCACCAAAAACTATCGAAAGAGAGCAATGAAACTAGATCAATTAAACACTTCGTCATATGAAGATAAAATTAATTTGTAAATAAATGAAAAAACGCAACAACCAGAATGTGTGGCACTTTATTTTTAGGACTTCTACGGAAGACCTAGAACCTGACAACTGCACGGATTTAAAAGGGAGTAATATTCCCACTTTTTCTTAGGCCTCAAGCTGAGCAACCTTATTTCCGGTCATAAGTTAATTTATACAGGACCTCGACAGGAACAATCATAAAGGAAAGAGTCAGGATATATAAAAGAAGGGAATGGATATAACCAATAAAAAAAAAATGACAAAAAGAAGTGATAAACTACACAGCTAACGATGCCTGTAATGATCGGGTGATGTCAGCAGAAAATAGGCAGAGGGATGGAAGGAAGAGGATACAACCATAAAAGTAATAGATGTTAGCTGAAGGGAAAAAAGTAAGAGATAAAGTGGGGAGAGGAAAACGGAAAGCGGGGAAAGGGGTTGAGGGTGCACTTAGTAAAGTGAGCCTTTGCTATGAGGTCTAGGCCGTTGTCTTCTTTCCTTCCAAACAATCATAAGGAAGCCCCGTTCCCACGGGGCTTCCCGGTCAGTCTTTCTTATGCAAGCTTCATAAGACAACTTTTCAACTGCCATTAAAATGCAATTTCCAATTTATAAGATATGTGTTAAAGTAGACCCTGCAGTATACCACTAAAGTATTGCAGCAGTTAAAAAGCTTGCGTCTGTCCTGACGAATATTATTGAATCTAGATAATTAAACGTGTCACGTTAATGGTCAAGTAGTTTGTTTGTGAATGATTCCACTGCAAATCAAAGCCTTACGTAATTTCAAATAGAATTACTTTGGTAAAAATCTTTACAAGCGGTATTCCAACATCATTATCATGTTTAGAATTTTATCCATTCATGTTTTCAGTATTTAAAATGTACTTTCATCCTTCCTCTCTTCATTCCTCTTTTTAATGATTTTTGTCAAATGTCGAATCAATTGCAAGAAGTTACAGTTCCTAATTAATATGAGAATATGAGAACTATTTTGCTGGAATAAACAATCCGTCACCAAGTCCATTTTATCCAACACATACAACAATTTGCAAAATGTTTAGGCAGTCGCTCAATACATCTGAGTATTACTATTCCTCGACAACAAATAAACAACGAGAATATACCATATATAACAGGAGAAGGCTCAATTAGGCTGCCCGCAGAAGTGGGGGTAACAATATATGATAACAGTTGGGCCAAGTTCGAAAACGTAGAAACTTATCGCCCCAACTTAATCTTTATCATATTAAGGACAACAAAGTAATTCAGGAAAATGCTTTTTACATCGGGAAGAATAACTTACAAAATTTGCAGCATAAGTAAAAGAATAGCAAACGCGAAGAATATAAGCCCTTCACAATGCCTCATTGAGAATAACATTATTGCACTGTAGTCATGTCAGAGTTTCTCACAGTGACATTTACGTCCACTCAGCAGCCATGTCATTTGTGTTTGTGTTTGCGTATGTCTTTGAGGACGTGTACGTGTTTGGTTGTCTGTCTGTATCTGTAAGTCCGTATGTATGTTATATATATGTATATAGTAGTTTAACCCGTATATATATATATATATATATATATAACGGAATAAACAGGAGTAAGTTATGAAAAATCTTTTGTCTTGTTGACTTGTTGGTTCACGCAAGTAACGGATTTTCTTTCTTTCCGTTCACTTTATCATTATGCTAGTTTCGACAGATTTAACCCGTAACAGTACGGCTATGTCGGATCTGTTAAGTGGTATTGCGAGTTTCACAAAAACAGTAGCCGATTCGTTCAACACATATGAAATCAGGAAACTTGGTGACAAAGTGTAAGTGATTTCATTGGTTTTCAGTAGTTACTTTTTAGAACTGTGAGTTCAGTTCGTCAGTCATTTCATTACTTTAAAACATATTAATATAATAACTTCGTAAATTTTATTGTAGTTCAGTTACCATTAATTTCGAAATGCTTACCATTTAG